TTCGTTGAAGAAGCTCTTGGATGAGCCTGGCTTGTTTTTGTGCGAGCTGGATCAGTGCTCATTTGGTCTTCGAGGCCCTGGAGGAGGACTTCATAGGAAGAGGACTTGGGTGCTGACTTCATCGGAGGAGGTTGCAAAGGAGCTCTCCGGTCATCTTTGCAGTGGTGGCCATGAGCATGAGCACGTGATTGGAGGCAATGTGGCTCGTTTTGCTGGACATTACCCTCCTGACCTGGCTTGCGCCTTTGTCCGTGGCCTGGAGAAACAGTTCGTGCGAGAAGGGAACTCAGAGTTTGAAGTGATGATGGGTGAAGGAGAAGCTGGCGATGAAGCAGAGCCTGAGGGACAGCTCAATCCCTATGAGGATGACTTTGACGTGGAGGATGACTTGGATGTCGACCAAGCTTTGGAGCCTACCCGAGCTCAACGACAAGCAGTGCTCAGGCTTCACCAGAACACAGGTCATCGAGCTCCTCTTCGGTTGGCCAAAGCCTTAGCTGTCTCTGGCGCTGCTCCTGAAGTGATCAAGGCGGCCAAAGAGCTTCGTTGTGAGGTTTGTCAAGAGACCCAGAGGCCTACTTCACATCGGCCATCTTCCTTGCCAAAGCCTCGACACTTTGGAGATCAAGTACATGTTGATCTGGTGGCCATCAAAGACATCCACCAACAGACTGTGTGGGTCATGCATGGCATTGATGCAGCCAGCGGCTACCAGATCGCCCAGACAATGGAGAACAAGAGCTCAGATGAAGTGGTGCACTTCTTCAACACGCACTGGATTCCTGTGCTTGGTGCTCCAAAGCTCGTGGTCAGCGATTGTGGCCCAGAGTTCACTTCAGATAAAATGCAAAGCTGCATGGCTTTCCATGACATCGTGTTGTACCACACGCCCGTGGAAGCACCTTGGGCCAACGGCCTGGCAGAAAGAGCCGGAGGTTCTTTGAAGGTGATCCTTGGAAAGCTCATCAAGGACTACTCTTGTCAGGGACGCCGTGAAGTACAAGAAGCCCTTGCAGCAGCTGTTGATGCATGCAATCAAGACATCGGCTCAGCTGGCTACTCTCCAGCCCAGTTTGTTCTTGGCAAACAGCCGAGAGTTGCTGAGGAGGTGATCCCCAATGACCTTCGTTTGCGTCTCTCCACTCATTCGCTGCTGGAGAACAGTCCATCTTTGGCTCGTCAAGCGGCCATGAAAGAAGCAGCTCGAGTGGCTCTTGTGAGAATGAAGTACTCACAGGCTTTGAGGAGGGCAGAGTTTTCGAGGGCAAGGCGGGCAACTTCCTGGCAGAGCTACAAGCTTGGTGATGTTGTCTACTTCTTTTGGCAGCAGAAGGTGGCTCCAGGAGGTGGAACAAGAGGAACCAAGCGCAAGCGCCTCATCCTCAACCAGTGGCATGGTCCGGCAATGGTCACTGCCATTGAAGGCGGTCGAACTCCAACTGCGGCCTACCTGGCCTACCGTGGCAACTTGACCAAATGTGCCATGGAGCATATCCGACCGGCTTCCACCTTGGAGCGACTGGCAATGAGTGAATGGGAAGAACTTCTTGCTGATGTGATCAACGCCTCAGCTGGCCCTGATGATGAGGTTCAGCCTGAGGGCCCTTCGGAAGATGATGATGGAGATGGTGGAGCACCTGGTGATGAACAACAGCCTGATGAAGCAGGCCGTCCTAGTGATGGTCAAGCTGGCTTGATGCAGCCGACAGTTCAAACCAGTTCTCGCTCTGGCACTCCAGCGGTGACTTTTCCATATCCTTTTCAAGCTCAAGATCTGATTCCAGCATTGCAGTCAGCAGCAGCGAGCTCAGCACCTCAGAGCTTAGCGAACTCATTGACTACCTCAAGGCGCTCTTCATTGGGCTCAGCTTTGCCTCTTGGATCGATGTCTCGACAGACTTCTGTGGCGAAGCCAGGTGGTGGTGATGAGGAAAAGCTGGAGGCAGTGGCGGAGGAACCGGCAGAAGCTGAGCAGGCTCTTCCTTCACAGCCTGACCTGACGGCAACAGCTCCAGTGACCGGATCGACTGACCCTTCGAGCAGTCCACCTGATCCTCTTGGAGGTGCGGTGGGACCCCTCCCGTCGACGGCTTGGCCTCCGGTTGAGGTGGGCCCAACCCCTCCGGTCGGGTTTCATCCGAGACTCGAACGCGCTCAGGGCTCAGTTCGACGTGCACTTTCAGAAGGTGCAGCTGAAGAAAGGGATCCGAAGAGAAGGAGCATGGTGCCTTTGCAATTGGGTGGTCGCAGCATTGACGTGCTGCTAGCTGAGCAGGACACAGTGATTCACCCACTTCTGCGAGCAGCTCTTCAAGCCCAGGAGGACATCAAGAACAACTACCTCATGGAGGAGGACCATGGCACCTGGGATGGTCGGTGGCCTCTGCCATCAAGAGGAGACTGGGAGACCTATGAGGTCGCCAACTGGAGTTGGCCTTCTGGAGGAGCTGACATGCAGGAAGTCCTGGAGGCACAGACTGGAGGAGGAAACCACAAGGAGCTGCGATGGTCGACCATGGATGAGGAGACAAGAGCTCAATTCCGCACCGCAGCTGAGGAGCAGTGGTCCAAGTGGGTTGAGAATGGCGCCATTGAGGTCCTTGATTTGGTTCAAAGCCGCCAGATTCGACAGGAGCTTGAGAGAAAGGGTGAACTTGACCGCATCCTGCAGCCCAGATTCGTCTTCACCGACAAGAACAGTGGCTTGCGCACACCACAGTGCCCTCTTCCACTGAAGGCTTCAGCAAGGATTGTGGTTCCAGGTTATCGTGACTTGGCAAACTTGCGCAATGAGCTGCGCAGAGATGCTCCAACTGGTTCAAGAATCGCACAGCACACCTTGTTTTGCATTGCGGCTGAGCACCCAGACTGGTTTCTTCGATCAGCAGATGTGCGTGCAGCCTTTCTCAAAGGTGATCCATATGTGAGGAGAGTCCTTTACATCACCTCCACGAATGCTTCAAGAGGCCCTTCGATTCCAATTCCTCATGGCAGCCTTGCAAGAGTCCTCAAGGGAGTTTTTGGCTTGGCAGATGCGCCCAGGGAATGGTGGCTCCGTCTCTCTCGAGAGCTGAAGCAGGAAGGTTGGACAATCTCCCAGCTGGATCAGGCCCTTTGGTTTCTTTGGGAGCATGGCAAGGAGGAGAAGAAGCTGTGTGGAGCCATTGTTGGGCATGTTGATGATTTGTTGTTCACAGGCAACCAGAGAGCCTTGGACTCGCTTCTTCGACTGGGCGAAAAGCTTGGCTATGGGTCCATTGAAGCTGATGACTTCCATTGGTGCGGCAAGAGAATTCGCCGTGACAAGGGCACCAAGGAGATCATCATCAGCATGACCACCTACCACCAGCAGCTGAAACCGCTGGTCATTCCACGACAGAAGCGGCTAGCTCTGGATGCACCATTGAGCCCAGCTGATGTGAAGAGGCTGAGAGGCATCCTGGGGTCGCTGCAATGGGTTGTCGCTCAGGTCAGATTTGACCTTGCTTTTTTGGTCAGCAGCCTACAGAGTGCACCTCACACCATGAGCACATTGTTGCAAGCTAACAAGGCCCTGCTTGAGGCGAAGAAGCATGGAGATTTTTCGTTGAAGTTCAAGCGGATTCCTTTGGCTACCGCTGGTGTTTTGATGGTTTGTGATGCAGCATTGGGCAATGTTGATAGCAGTGGTTCAGTGGCTGATGCTCCAGAAAGCCGCGTTCACAGCCAAAGCTGCTATGCCATTCTGCTGGCAGACCCTGCACTCTCCGAGGGCAAGCGTGGGATGTTCAATGTGGTGGACTTTAGAAGCCATCGATTGGCTCGGGTTTGCCGGAGCTCCTATGCCTCGGAAACGGTTGGCGCTGAGGAAGGCATGGATGCTGCTGAATTGGTGAGAGGCTTCATTGCAGAAGCTCGTGGAGTCCCACTACATCCACATGGCTACTGGCAGATCACCCGAGTTCCTTTGATGGGTGTCACTGATGCGAAAGATTGCTTCGACCGCATCACTTCCGACACAGGATTTGGAAGCCAGAAGTCTTTGATGTTTTCGGTGGCTGGCTTGCGACAGCAATTGCGCCGTCCTCAGACGAGCTTTCGATGGACAGCCACGTCCAACATGTTCGTCGACGCCGGAACGAAAGCCATGGATGGCCAACACCTTCGTGAAGCCCTTCTTCGAGGTGAATGGAGCGTGGAGTTCCAGCCGGACTTTGTGAAGCAGACGGCAAAGCGAAAGAAGGCATGCGAGAAAGGTTTGGCAGATGGCACGATCCTGCCTGGACGTGAGGCCAACAGCGGAGACTTCCAACTGATGCAGCATGTGCATCACCTGTCCTTGGCTGCCGGATGGCACTTTGTGGACGGGATTGGCATCTTGGTCGCCCACCAGGCCAAGAGCTTGAGAGGACCCACTCCGAGGTTCGCTCTGAGGGATCATCCGCTCCGGACGACAGTGGCCGAATTTAGAGTTCGAGATCAGTCAACATGGCAGATCTTGGAGGAGCGCGTCGATTTGATGGACAAGGCTGTTCACCAAGAACTTTTGCCTGTCCCAGCCAAGACGCTGGTCACTTTCTTTGAGCCCCGTCCAAAGGCCACTGAAAATAGAACGGATGAGAAACGTGAAACATGCACCCCATGACCTTTGGACGGTTGAGCTCATGACAGGTGTTTCATGTTTGTTCACCTGGCCGAAAGGCCTTGAGCTGTTTGGCGCGAGAAAAGCGCGGAGGTTGGCAGGAAACCTCACGGCCCCGCCTCGTTCGGTCGTGACATCCCCCAGCCTTCCATATGATTTGCTACCAATTTGGTTTGTGCATGTCATTAGGTGATACGGCGATGCTGTTTGTGTTTTTGGCTCTTATGGGTGGCAAAGGGAACGTATATATATATATATATGCGGTTCATATACCCTTTGCAGTGAGGTCTTGTTTTGAAACCCAGTCTTTCCTCAGAAATGGAGATCCCGAGATCCATATGTGGGTGCATCGAAGGTGTGTCTGGTCTAACCATCCAAGGCAAAATCGGAGAGATCACCGCAGAAATCTCCAAGGAACTGTTCAGTTGTAGAGGGCAGAAATTGGAGAGGTCGAAGCCTGGAAGCGGGAATTTGGAGGTTTGGGATTCTTTTTTGGATTCTGTTTGGTGAAAGAACGAGGAAGACGCAGAGGCTGGAACACATGATATGTCTTTGGGGAAGAACAAATGTTGACCATCCTTCACGCGTGAGGAAAGAAACCCATATTTAGGCAGAACTCTCTGAAGGACGTGCGGCCGCGGGGTGCAGCCAGCTCAAATGGCACCACGTTGGTCAGATGCAAGTGTAGACAACTTGAGCTAGACCAGAAGAAGGCCAACAAGCAGGAAACCGATCTCTGGGAAGGTCAGAGCCCCCCGAGCCTGAACCTTTACTGTAAGTGACAGAATGATGTCATCTTAATGCTGTTCAATGCCATGTTTGTATGTGCAAATGTCGAGCAAGCTAAGATCTTGCCCAATGAGTGCTGCTGATACTCCTTTTGCTTAGTCACCAGTGGCTTGCTAAGCTAGGAAGAGTCTGGCAAACCAGCCTTCTGTTATTTGTTTTGCGCTGTGTATCAGAATTTCAGTGGTTGGCTCTTGTCAAGCTTTCCAAGAGCCTGGTCTTAGAAGAGCCTGGTCTTATCAGTGGTCGTCTTCGACCGGAACCAGGAGACCGCGCAAATCCGAAAGCAGCACCTCAAACAGTCCACTGCACCAGTCCCAGATGATTGCAACTTCTCCCTGCGAAAATTCCGGAAGAGGCCAGGCCGGAAGCGGTGTCCGTGGTTCGCTTCACCCGGGAGGGGAAGGGGAGAACGGTGTTTTTGTTGGCAAGCGAGGGGGAGGTCGGGAAGAACGGTGCTTGGAATCACCTTATTTGAGACGTCACACCCCGCGAAGAGAGGAGACATGAACCTGAAAAGGGACAATTCACGGAAGATGGACGCGGAACCCCACAAACCATGCTTGTCTTCCATGTCATAGATGCCATTTGTACTTTTCCACTAAGGGTTGCACAATGTTGCACACCCCCGGCATGGTCCGACAGCGCCCGTGGTGGACCTCGGACCCAGGCTGTTGGGCAAGCACCAATGCCTGGCGGATGCCTTCCGGGTTCTGGATTTGAATGTGAATGAGAAGATCGGCCCCCAGGAGCGGAACCAGCAGAGAACCGCTTCCGGAGAACCTCTGGAGCCGGAGCGGAGCAGTTTCGCAGTTTCCCCCGTGCCAGCTGCGTTTCTGGTGATGCTCTCAAAAAGAAAGGCACCATGCACCATGCACGGTGGATATTTTCATCATCATCATCATCATCATGATGATGGTTGGGGGTGGAGGGTTTGCGAGAAGCTGTTGAAGCACTGGAGAGGAAAGTTGTAGGTGATTGGTTGATGGAACATGTTCTGTAGCGTTTGTGTGGGGCACAACTTCAGTGATCAGTTTCAGGACAAGTCCCAAAAAGGATCAAGCGGCTTTCAGTTGCAGAGCCAAGACTGCAATTATCTGGCGCAAGCCCGGTGCTTGATAACTATCCACACCTTGACTTGTTTGCATGTTTATTTGTACCATTTGTCCCACCTAAGGATGTAATGCAAACCTGACAAGGTGCAAGAAACAGCGCGCATCAGGAGTGGGGTGCCATGTTCCGCGGCTCTGGCTTGGCAACGTTTCGAGAGGTGTCGCAACATGTGGCAGTCGGAGATGTGGCAGGTGTGGACCATCAAAGTGCTTGTTCCTCCTACTACCCGACAAAGGAAAGTTGTTACCTTAGCATACTTGCAAACCTTCAGGGTTGAAGCCAGATCAACTCACCTGGTAGGGGGGGTTCAGCCCTTCTTTGATGTCGAAGTCCGGCCCCACCTTGCAGTTTCGTAGCTAAGCTGTTGTAGCCGACCTGGAAATCTTGAGATCCCAAGTCTTTGAGCCTTGTTCGATTTGGGTGTGTAATGGGTAGTTTCCCATTCCCTTTCAAGGGGTAAGCACGGTTTTTGGTGTTTGCAAGTCAAACTCTCCAGGAGCTCTTGCGGTGGTGTTGTGGGTATGGCTCCAAATCTGACTAATAACCCCTCAGAAAAGAAAACATAGTATATAGTTGGACACATTCATGTCAATTTGGATCTAAAAAGACAAAACACCACCAAAGCCCGAATTGACATGATCCTTGCCTTTCTGATCAATGATGATGGATTCGTACCATGGTTGAGCCAACAGCTTCCGCAAAACCATGGCTAGATAGTGGAGCAATGGCGCACAAGACCGATACCGTACCCTAAAATATTGCTTGTTGATATCCTTCGTAGTCCAAACCACAAATTTTTGACGTAGTACTTGCTTACAAAAAAATATTCCTGGCTGCTGGTCATATGATGGATACTGTATAGTCATAAGCCATAGAACTGAACCATCATAACCATCTACTTTGACCATTGCCACATAGAGCCTTCAAGCCCTTCAACCCCCCAAAACCGTCCAACCACAGAACCCATGAGACGAATCCCATCCGTCAACACACAATAAAAGAACATCATCGTCCATGAGACGCTGCCTGCACTCACCAGGCTCGGATGAGCTTTGAGCTCTTAGACCTGAACCGTGATGGTGCCAGAGCTCAACTTTGGTTTGCTTTGCTTCGGTGGAATGGAAACGCTTCGTTTCGGGGTTCTGCATCGGAATCGGGTTTGCGTCATCTGATGTGTTTTGCAACGAACTGGTCCTTGTTTCTTTGATTAATTATTTGGCCGCCTGCCACTAGTAGTAAAGGAACAGGTCCTTTGCACGAGGGGTAAACTGTTTGTTCGGTGAGTTATATTGGGAACTGTTGAAGGAATCCACTTCCTGATATGTTTGTTCTTCTTGTTTGCTTTTGGCATACCAAGTTTCTTGGCACAGGTCATGCAAGAAAAGGGAGATGGACTGGACAGGGTCATTGGGTGTTGTTAATGTTAACTTTCCCAGCGGTCCTAGTACTCGGTACTGTGCAGATTCAGGGCAAGGGCAAAGTTCAATTTTGGGCCTGATTGGCTTTGCTCCATCAGCAGGCATCTTGCATCACTCATCCTAGCGAAACTGTGAGATGAGGGAAGTCCTGAATATGTTGTGTCAATGAAGCTACATTGGCTGCAACACGATAGTCATATGCAAGTAAAACTGTCCAACTAACTCGATGGTTCCAGCTGGTGGGATGGTGGCACGGAATGGTGGCGCGGAGACCCTGTTGGGTACGGGTACTCACTCTTGGAACCGCGTGCGCCTTGTGGGTCTTCCACCTTTGGCGTTGTGCGCTCATCAGAGGCGATGCCAGAACAAGTGTCAGTTTACTGAACAGTTTGTCAAATATCAAATATCTAATGTATGATGTGCCTTGCCTTCTTCCATCCTTCTTCCAAGTACTCTCTGAGGGTGGGGATCACTCGAAGCAAGTCATCCGGTAAACCATGGTTACCACCAGCTCCACAAATACATCCTGAAAGGGAGAACAGTCATAATGAATAATTGTTAGGTCCATCTAAGGGGTTCTCAAGGCTACAGTGACACTAGCAAATTGATCCGGGTGGAAGAATCAGTTGGAAGAACCAATGGACAAAAATCTTCATGGATGATCTCAAGATCCAACTTTACGACCATTCAATGGGTGGCCAGTTTGTGGCCAAAGCTCTTCTGATCAACCAGTGCGACACCGACGATCCCAGCACCGATTCGAACCAGGCAGTGTGACCCTCGCTGAGTTCCAGGCGGATGGGTCAGCCACGATTCGGTGTTGGAAGAGCCAACACCCAACAACTGGATCGGACGAACGCCCCGTGCGGTTGGTGATTTGATCGATCATACTTCTTTTTGGGGTGGGTGGGTGGGTGGGTGGTTGGGTGGGTTGAAGTTGAAACGGCAAAGAGTTAAACCAGTCCCTTTTTTGTCGAGGTTTTCACGCAGTGTGGTGTTGATCATAAGGGAACTACATGTTATTGGGCCTGCTGCATGGTCTTTTTGTCAAATTTAAACAAATACTGACGGCTAAAGCAGATAGAACCAGCTTTGCTGAACTACTGCAGGACCCATGTAGAATTCCCAGGAAAGAAATCCGTGAACAATCCATGTTGACAGTTCTCAAGTTCTTGAAAGCAGGAGTTTGCTCTGGATGATTGTGGATTTTACACAAGCATAGGCCCAAGTCATGACCAAATCTATTGTATAGATCCTATATCCATCACTTCTGCAGCTCCATGTTTTGCGAGCATCGAGTCACCGGTGCGAAATGCCCGAACCTGGCACGACGCACCAGCGACTGCGCACCCCAAAAGGCCACGTCACAACATCCGCGTGCTACACGGCACATGGAACATCATGGAACATTTCAACCGGTTTTTGCACCAACATCCGGCTACACCCAAATCCTGTGCACTCCCAACCCCGGGTGGCCACATCCCACGAGCCGTGCGGAAACGCTTGTGCAGCTGGTCAGGCGGCGTTGGAAGGAGTAGCGGAGATTCAAGGTATCGATGGACTGAGGAAACGCCTGGTGTCCTTTGGATACTCCAAGACCATGCAGGCGATGGGGGATGGAGCCTTGCGGGCGAGAGCACTTAAAGATAGTTCCAAATGAGACGTTTTGATTTGCAATGATTTGGAAAAAGTCAATGTCCCATGGAAGGACCCACAAGTGAAAATCAGATCAAGTTATTACTTTTTAAAGGTTAATGTGCTGTCACAACGTCGAACTCCCAGCGACTCCATCCGTCACAACCGCAGGTCCTGGAGGTCATCGAAGCCAGTGGCGTGGATCCTTCACGGCTTTTGAGCTTGGAGGACGGTGTTCACCACCGGCATGCACCGGACACGATCTGTTCTTTTGGGGTGAGCCGGTTTGAAGAGCAGAATGGGAACAGGTGGCGGACAGCCGGGGGAGATGAGCCAAGGGAGCTTGAAGAGATGGAAGATGGAGTCTTTCGCTCTCACCGGCATGTGTAAAAGATGGCCTGAGATTCCATTGATGGCTAAAGTCATCGATATAGAGGCACCTAATGTGGAAGGTGGAACTTGCTAGTTCTTGGTAGAACCTGGGATTTTCCGATAATCAGCCAACTGGTGCCAACTGGTCACTAAGGGTCGACCCATTAGACATCTATCGTGGACCTCCAGACATCCATTGGGGTCACCGGGTGTTGTCGATGGTTCACCGGGAAAGAGGACGTGTAGCCGTGTAGCCGGTGGTTTCTGGTGCGCGGCGGACGTGGTGGATGGCACCTGTTTGTAGAGGAAAACGGTCCAAGGCCATCCGCTTCCATGATTCATTCCAGGGAGTGTGTTTCTTGGCCCCGGAAGGGGGCCCAAGTGCTGTCGAACGGTTCTTTGGGGACCCCAGGATGGTGTTTCCAATTCTACCTTTACACTGAGACTCAAACACATGGAGGCTGGAGGACGAATGCTAGAAGACCTGGCTTTAGGGACCCGTGAGGGATTTTGAGTTGTCCATGGTCGCTGATGAATCCAACTCCATGCTCATGAATCCATGGAGAGCATACCAGAACCCAGTGTGGAAGGCTTGATACCTCCACAGGGTCAGGCGGTCAGGCCATCCTCGTCTCAGCCAGGAGTTTTCCATCGCCTTATGTCCGGTGGCCTGTGCTTTGGTGGATCAATGTCCACTCCTTGAAATACTTATGGAAGTACATTGCCCCGCAAGGAGGACCATGATATCCTGTGACATCCTCTACAAACAGGTTTGTACGGAGCACCATGGTCTCCAACTTCCGGACACCGTGTACGGTCTGTCCTGAAGCCGCTGGCTTGATGGCTTTAGATGGCTTGAGTGGGTCGTCACCACGGAACGACGGAAAGGCCTCGTTGGAGTGGAGTGCGGAGTCCTCAGATTCGTTTTTAGGCCGGATCCATGTGGTGGAGCCCTCCGAGCATCAAGTGATCTTCGACGCTCGGACGGCGACGCCGGAGTTCGGCCGACCAGCTGGGGCAACCGGGAAAGAGGGGGACCGGGAAAGAGCGCGCTTTAGGGAAGGTGGTGGCGATGGGGGTGGGGAAGGTGCCGATGTAGTGCTGATTTTTTATTTTTTCTGATATTATAATGATAGATATTAAAAAAAACACACTGCCACTTATTGAAATCTACATCATGTCCTGGGGATTCCTGAGATACACCAGGAGGAACCTGAGACAGAAGCAATCAAATGCTCAGTAGTGAACCAGATTGGCTGCCCCTCTCTTTCCAAGGGAGTATCATGCTCCGTACACATCAGTTGGTGACCATTTGGTTCCTGCCACCCACATGCTGTCCTTGTTTGCTGGAAGAAGTGGCCGCGGTGACCGGTTCCCATCCAACCATTTCGGTTCCCATCGGGGCTGGCCATCCGTGGCCGAGGACAATGTGAGAGACCGAGGAGATCCACAGAGCAAGGCACTCCTCGGCGGTGACCGGACCGTGTCGATGGACGTCGGAGACGGTCCGACACGGCCAAAGGGCGGACCATCGTCGTCGCGAGGAGGTCTGGTGCGAAAAGAAAACTTACTCGAGATGAACAGTATACAGTAACAATTTCATAATGAATGTTTTACTGTGTATATACACATATATAATTTAGTTTATGTGTGTTCTTTTTGTTTCTGTATAGTCTGTGGATGTTTGGTCCAATTGGCACGCACCAACCACCTTTTGCGCACCCAAACCGGACCCCTCGACCGGCTGTCACCCGCACGCGGCTAGCTGTCGCCACCCTCCCCGGAAAAAATGATAAAACATGATAAAAACAACAATTCAAAGAAGTTTTGGAAAATAGATTGAAACAGACTAAAAACAGATTTTTAATATGGTTGATTGTTTCATTTTACCATCAACCATATCAAAATCATCACTACCAACCATATCATTATACCTCATTCATTTTCACAAAATCATCACAGCAAACCATATCATCACCTCATTCATTTTCACAAAATCATCACAGCAAACCATTATTTAAGTTCCTTTGATGCTTATTTGTTTTAATATGTCTTGAGAAATGGTGTTGCCTTATTGAACAATTACAAACAGAACAGGTAATGGTTTTTAGATTAACATTGTGTTTCTGCTCCAGTTTATTTTTTCTATATTATTAATCTTCTTCATATCTTTTTCTTTGTGCTTCATTGTATCTATCTTTGTTATTGTAATTGTAATTTGTGTTGTAGTCTTTACATTTCTTACAACATATATTACCTTCATAACATTAATTGATGCTTTTAGTAGTTTTACATTTCTTACAATATTGCTCTTCCATCATCATTTCTCATCATATAACCATCTTTTTCTTTTAAATAGATTTTTCACATAACCAACATAAAGCACTTCTCAGAAAAAAAAACACAATAACTATAATAAAGACAAATTCTAAGAACAAAACATATAATTCACGTAAAAACTACTTAAAGATTAAATGACTTAATAAAATATATAGAGTATTATATGATGAAAACAGTTATAGATTATCTATTAAATAATGGTTTAGCAGAACTACCTAAGAGAGGAAGAAAAGAACTAAAGCAATTAATCATAGATGGTAGGACATTTAGATACAATAAAGCAAAATAAATATCAAATGTTTTAAATAAAAACTTAAATCAATCAGACATACAAACGGGTATAGGAGTTATGCCTTAAACAAAGCAAAAGATGCTTACACCCTTGGACGAGCAAAAGTATTATTAACCAGAAGGGCAATAAGAAATAAATTCAGAGTAAATGATGTCCAGTCAGCATTTAGAAACTATGCCAATTCCAGAAAACTTAACAATAAGCACTTTCAAGGTGAGCGAGGATTGGAAATGATTGCTCATCAAACATCACGATTAAGAGACTTCTTAAAAATAATAGACATATGAAACTTAACATCCGAACGGATGGTTTATTTGAAAAGCTTGAATATGATGATGGAGGAAATAAAATTGCTACAAGCGAACACCTTTATCAATTACCAGCAACACGCTACAATGTTCATAATGAAGATGAGTTAAACCAAGCATTGGAAAATAGTGTTCAACAAATCTTATTGAAAATTCAAGATTTAAAAGGCACACAGTCCAATTTAGTATTTAAAAAGATTGTTTCAATAGCCATTCATGTTGATAAGTATGACCCTACAAGAGCGGGGAGGTATATAGAACTACCAGAATGGATTAAATTTAAAAGGGCGTGTATCAACATAAAAATAAAGACACAAAATGTTTCAAATACTGTATTCAATGTATAGTCTTTGATAAAATCAGTAAAAATCATCCAGAAGAGATGTTCCACTATAACAAGTTAAATGACAATATGTTGAATTGGGAAGGTGTTAAATTTCCTACAGGGAATAGGGACATAGACCGGTTTGAAGAAAACAATAAGCAAGTTTCAATAAATGTTTTTGAACCTGATGACTGCTTGAAGGACAACAAAATAATTTTACATAGAGGAACAAAAAAAACAAAAATGCTAGATATGAAATTGATTTGTTAAATATTTTTGATGATGATTATTATTATCTTTACGCCATAGTAAAAAATAAGAGTAGATTACTAAACTTTCAAAGCAACAAGGATGATAGTAGGAAACATTATTGTCATCATTGCTTAAATCCATTCTCAACGGAAAAGGCCTATAATAAGCATGTAGAAAAAGGTTGTATGGCATCAGAAAGACAGCAAACCAAAATGCCTGATAAAGGTAGTTATATTATTGAATTTGAAAAACATAACACTAAATTACCGTGTCCTTTTGTAATCTATGGAGATTTTGAATGTCTAATGTCTAACCACAAACTCCAACAATGGTATAAAAGGCACATATCAGGAACATAAACCGTGCGGTTATATGTTGAATGTAGTAAGCAGGATTGATAATACATGCCAACCATACTTATACACAAGTGAGGATTGTATGAAAAAGTTTGTAGAACAACTGACTGAAATTAAGAAAGGTATATTTGAAAAGATGAATGTTAATAAACCAATGGAAATTACATACGAACAAGAATTAGAGTTTAGAAAAGCAACTCACTGCTCAATATGTAATAAGAAATTCCAACCTGATGATGAGAAAGTCCGCGACCACTGCCACTTCACAGGTAAATACAGAGGCGCAGCCATGTAAAATGTAATTTAGATTATTCATTTAAGTTGTTTAGAATCCCAATATTTTTTCATAACCTAAAAGACTATGATGCTCACTTAGTCATTGCTAGAGCAAATGAATTGAACATAGAATTGAATGAAAACAAAAGGATAGATGTAATAGCACAAAACAGCGAAAAGTTTATAACCTTTTCATTTGGTGCTTGTCAGTTTAAGGACAGGTTTGCTTTTCTATCAGCATCACTGGACAAATTAGTCAGACTAAATAAATATGAAGGAAATGAAAAAGTAAAAGAATGGGAAAATCACTTCAGATATACAAAAACAAATCCATATATCAAGTCTAAAACTGATTTAAATTTACTAACTGATAAAGGAATATACCCATACGACTATATGAATTCCTTTGATAAATTTGATGAAGAACAACTACCAAGTAAGGAACACTTCTATAGTCAGTTGTATGAAGAACATATCACTGATAGAGATTATGATAGGGCAAATGTTGTATGGAAACACTTTAATATAAAAAACCTTGGTGAATACCATGATTTGTATTTGATGACCGATGTTTATTTGCTGACTGATGTTTGTGAAAACTTCAGGGATGTGTGCTTAAACTATTATGGTTTAGACCCAGCATATTATATATATATAACTTTGCCTAATGACTTCAACAAATCCACATCAAAGAAATGTATGAGATGATTGAAAACGCACTGAGAGGAGGGATGACACAATGCTCATACAAAAAAGTAGAAGCAAACAACAAATATATGAATGAAGACTTTGATAAATCTAAACCATCAAGTTATATACGTTATTTGGATGCTAATAACTTGTATGGTTTAGCAATGTGTAAGAAATTGCCTTATGATAATTTCAATTGGCACTACAACAAAATTGCTGAACAGAAATATTGAATTACACCGATGATGATGAAATAGGTTATATTATGGAAGTTGATTTAGAATATCCAAAAGAAATTCACGACTTACACAAGGACTACCCATTAGCACCTGAATTTATGAATATTAATGATAATATGCTATCTCAAGTTCAAAAGGATATTCATAGATACCGTTATGGAAAAGAAGCAACTGACGATAAAACAAACAAATTAGTATTAAATGTTATGGATAAACAGAAGTATGTATTACACATATCCGCCTTGAAATTCTATCTGCAACACGGTTTGAAACTAAAGAAAGTCCATAGAGCAATAAGGTTCAAACAAGCACACTTCTTAAAACCGTTCATTGAATTCAACACTGAGAAGAGAAAACAAGCAAAGAATGATTTTGAAAAGGACTTGTTTAAATTAATGAATAATTCTGTTTATTGTAAAACTATGGAAAATATTAGAAAGCACGGTGATTTTGAGTTGGTTAATACTGCTGAACGCTTCCAAAAACTGGTAAATAAACCAACATACAAACACCAACACATTATAAATGATGAACTTGTAATAGTTGAAAAGGATAAACAAACAATAGAGTTAAACAAACCTATCTATATGGGTATGTCTATTTTAGACTATTCTAAAATTCACATGTATTCGTTGTGCTATGATGTTTTGAATCCAAAATATCAAGATAATATTAAGTTGGTCTATACTGACACTGATAGTTATGTAATACAGGTTGATACTGATGATTTATACAAAGACTTCAAATAAATAAAGGAATATATTGAGTTTAGTGATTACAATGTTGAACATCCTAACTATGATAAATCAAACAAAAAGGTATTGGGCAAGTTTAAGGATGAAATGGACGGTAAAATAGTTACTAATTTTATAGGATTGAAACCAAAGGCTTATTGCTACAAAGTCTATGGAGAGGACAGGGAACATAAGAAAAGTAAAGGTGTAGTAAAGCATAAAGTTAGTAATCAATTAAGTTATAAAACTTATGAAGATACATTGAACAGAATATTAAAAGAAGAAGTCCAGTTCAACACCATAAGAAGTAAGAACCATCAAGTATACAGCATAAATCAAACAAAATATGCTTTAAGCAACTATGACAACAAGCGCCTATGGATTTCAGACACAGAAAGCCTACCGTATGGTCATTATCTAACATCTCTTTATAAAGAAAAGATGACGTAAGCTAAATATAGATATGAATAGATATGAAAAAGGACAAATTTACAAAATAGTCAGTCCTGACTTTGAGAAATGCTACATTGGCTCAACATGTGAAAAATTGAGTATGAGAATGGTAAGACACAGACATCAATACAATTCACATAATAAAGGAAAGCATGGAAGGAATACATCATTTGATATATTTGACGAATACGGTATAGATAATTATAAAATTATGTGGATTGAAGATTGCCCCTGTAATAACAAAAAGGAATTGGAAGCAAGAGAAGGATATTACATTGAGAACACTAAATGTATCAACAAAATTATTGTTGGAAGAATGTCGGAAAGGTATAGAAAGGAAAACAAACAAAGAAAAAAGGAAACAGACAAAATCTATAGAGAAAATAATACAGTCAAATTGAAGGCAAAAAGAGAAGAAAAGACAGATTACTACACTGAATACAATAAAAGTTGGAAAGAAAACAATAAAGAACATATAAGTGAATACAACAAACAATACAGAGACAAAAACAATGATAACTGTGGTTCAACTGTCAAAAAATATGACCTTAAAACACATCAACAAACTAACAAATGTCAATCATTTACAAGTAGTAGCAGTTCATGACGGTTGTATTTTTTGCTTAGTCCATCCGGTGTATAATAGCTATTGTTCAGCATGTCTCGGCCTTTGAGTATTACTTTATATTTTCTATCAGTCCATTGACTTTTCGTTTCTTCTCTTGAAGTGTAGTTTCCTTTGCCTTTATCAAAAACTTTAACATAATCTCCCTCCCCAATGTTGGGGTATTTCCTATTATGTTTTTCTTTTAAAGCAAGATTAGACTCTACTTCAAGCGCATTTTTAAGGTCGTGCGCTTTGTTAGGGCTCATTTTAGTTGAACTACAGTATGAACTTGAGTATTGTATCTACTTAGTGATGGTTCTAACATATCTACCCAAGTCTTATCTTTATTTGCTCTTAGCCTATCAGCAATCATCTTTTTAATTGTCCTTATCATTCTCTCAGCCTGATTAGCGTGTGTATTTGTTATTATGTGTTCTATCCCTTCTCCTTTAAAATAGGCTTGTAATTTCTTACTGTTTAATGCTCCTTCGTCATCAGAATAGACTGATAATGGCTGACCTAATACCTCATTACAGCATCATAAACATCATCAGTGTCGTTATTTTCCATTGGCACGATATGACATTTTTTACTGAACATGTCTATACATACCAAGCCAAAGGTAGGTTGATTTTTTTTTATTTCAGTTTTAACATCCCTCAACAGACTTGTCATAATCATCAAATCAATTTGAAATTCATATTTAGGATAAGGGGCAGTCTAAGAATTGTAATTCTTGTAGTTTCTTGTTTGTTTGTTTGGTTGAGATTTCATCCACTGTGAAACCATATCCAAAGTTATGCCTACATCGACTTTCCTAGCCTTTTCGTACAAGTCCCTCACCGAACCGAAGCCCTCCTCCACGTCGTAATATATTTTTCCAATACCTTTTATTTTTCCAATCTCGTCATTAAAGAATACTTAGATTATAATTTTATGATATTTTCTTGTATCATAAAATCCTAATCAACTTACACTAAGCACCTTTGGCACTTTTGGGTTTTCTTGTGCTTTGCCAAGTTTGACCTGCAGCTCATGGCAGAGCCGCATATATCGCATACGCACGGTTGTTTCGTTTTCTCTTGGTAATATCTTTTGAAATACGTTTCGTCCTTCGGTTTTCTGTTGTAATATCCGTCGTCCTGCTTTCTCCATTGGGGTTTTGTCGGCTTTTGGACTGATGAATTTGCTTTATAGTTTTCTTCAGACGAAGAAGACGTGTCGCCGTCATTGAGTTCTTTGTTTCCAAAACCGTTCCAAATAAAGGTTTGATTTGTCATCGGGATTTCAACTCCACTACTTACAAAGTAACAAGGCATATTGTGTATATAGTTAGTAGCATATCTTAATATTTGTTTAAGTATTGTTTTACTCAATGGGAACTATGTATATTCAGTGTGTGCTTGTGGCATCTCATACAAGTCCTTAGCACAAACCCCAAAACAATTTCAACATCAAAGTTTATAAGTTTCAGCAGTTTACCCTTCTACCGGTTGACTTATTTTTAGAGACACCCAATCCTAAAACCCCAAGAATCCCAACCCAAACATGCTCAACGTTCAAAACAGTGAGACTTGAGCTTTGTCCCAAGCCAATCCAAAACCGAACCAATTTCCAAAAAGCCTGCGCCGGTTTTCACCAAAACGGAAGCTGTTTTACCCAAAGACCCAGCCAGTTTTTCCATGTTTTTCCCAAAGACCCAACCAGTTTCTCCCAAATGGAGCCTGTTTTTCAAAAATGTCTTTGAATTGTTGTTTTTATGACCCCCCCCCCGTGGGGGTCGGTTGGCGCGACGTCCCGCCGGCGCAGAAAAGAGGCGTCGATCAATGAGCTCATGTCCGCGCTCGGCAGCGTGGGCCCTTGGATGCTCCTGGAAGACCTGGCCCGGACCACCCAGCCGCCGTCACCGACGTGCATTCCGTGGAGTGAGCGACGCGGAGTGAGCGCCGTGGGGTGCTCCTGTGGGGTGGAAGGCTTGAAGTGAGAAGGTGAAGTCCATGAGTGGTGTTTTATTGGTCGGTTGGATATGCAGTGCTGTGGAGATCCCTTCAACCTGTCGAGGTTGAAATTGGTCGGTCTGGTGGCACCTCTTTGCAAGGGAGACTCACCCGGGTGGTTGCGGTTTGCTTTGCGGTTTGCAGCCGGGCCAAGGAAAGTTGCGTCCATATGAATGTGTATGATTCTTTTGGTGTGTGTCGGCCAAAACTCCAGGAACATGGAAGTTCCATGCCATAAAAGGACACATTGAAGGTCTAGTCTTGATGACTTTCTTACTCGTAGCAGGTTTAACATCCCTATTTGGTGTTGAGATCATACAGACTCATTATGTGGTTTACATCAAAGAGGCCCGCAGGCCCCTCCGGTCGCCTGTTTTGGGCCCGGTAGGCGGATCGAGCCCGTCAGAAGTGGGGCTCCGTTGAGGCCACATGGGCAGGCACGGCCATGTTCTCACGGTGAACTTGAGATGCAAAGAAACGGATGACCTCTGTGCCCCCCAAAAGAGATATTAGTGAGGTTGAGCAAAGAACCATCTTCAAGAAAGTGCTGAACACGAGCTAGGAACCTGTCAGACGGAGGCGTTGGACACGTTCTAAGAGTATCTTGGAACAATGTTGAACATGAAACCGAGGACCATTGAGCTTCTGGCACCAGGAATCGAGAGAGATGGTGGACCAGAGCTCCAGGCCCTAGCCTAGGGACCCAAGGACCTTCTCAGAAGGTGATTGAAGATGCTGCTACGTAGGTTTGGAGGGTCGAAGTAGCTTCTGAAAAGGTACTTGCGTCCTAGTGAGCTAGAACGACCCATCCCAGATCTACCCCACGGCAGGTCCACAGGGTCAAACCTTTACCACACGGATCGCTCCGCTGAGCAGATGACCTGCGAAGGCCTTGGACCTGCCTCTGGGGAGACGATCAGCCTGCAGGTGAAGCGGGGATCGGCTGATTGAGTCAAGTGATTTTGGTTGGAACAAAGAGAATGTAGACTCTTGACTCTTGATTAGTAAGCACCACCCCCAGACATGCTTTATTGATCACTGTTAACTTTAGTATCGAGAGTCTACATTACCTGACTGACCAATATAACCTGTAGAGGAGGAACATTCCATTCGAACAGTCAAGGGTGCTGCGTGATTTCTTGAGGCCCATATACATGGTGTTTGTTTGTAACTTTGAGTTTTGTTCCAGCCAGGCTTGGGGCTCCCTGCGTTGACAATGTGTTTCTTTGGTCAAGGCCCTAGGAAGAACCGCATACAACATAATTGGACACTTGCCACAATTCATTTTGGAATACTTAGGACGAGGCCTATAGTTTAGTGGTCCTCGCGATTGCCAGTGGTCCGTTGAATTCGGACATGCCATGCATTGCGTGGCCGCTGCGGCCATGCATGGCTGGAGGTCTTTGAGAAGAAGCTGGAAAAGCTGGGATTGAACCCCACCGCAGCCCAGAAGGCGAGGTATTCGGTCGGTATCGCCCTCAAAAGAGTGGGTGCGGAGCGTGCTTGAGGCCCTTGGTCTCCACATGCCAAGTGCCAAGTCGCGTGGGGTCACTCTTTGGACATCTTTGGACTGCCTTGTGATGGACATAACTCATCAGTCATGCAACAGATCATATTTCCTAGCCTTCCCTGCATGTTTCCATGCGAGACACATGCTAGAACCAAGGATTCATAGTCCACACCTTGGCCAACACGACCATATCGAAGACTACAGACCGTGATGTGATATTGCATTGTACGGTATATCCTATTTTTTTGGTTCAGGCCTTCAAGTTTGAGATCTGGGTCATGTTATGTGTACAATGACAGCAACCACGGCAAGGCAAGTCTTGAACGTTGAACTGTCTTCACCCCATCTCTGCGGTGAATCAGGTACTGAAAAAATCGACCCTCAACAGGGCTTGAAAGAAGCTATCTTCACTCTGACAAAGGGTCTCTACTCACTCTGCATGGGTTTCCCTGCATCCCTGCCACACGCAGAGGCCAGCCGTATTCTGGATGTAGACGCTGGTGGCGAGTTGTCGCGATCAGAGCCTCTTGACATGTCGCACTGGGGGGTTGACATAGCACTGGGGGGTTGACATCAGACTGTAAATGGCTTTCAATAAGTGAACTATATATATATATTGAACTGCATACAAATTTGGTAACTTTTGAATGTTGGGGCCATGAGATATGATGCACCCATTTGGGTAGTTGCTTGTATATTTGTCTCAAAATGAGGGGAGGTTTGAAGTGAGTATGGTTACTTCCCTTGGTCTTGAGTCTCTCCAGCTAGTGGCATGACAATTGATTTTATGACCGGATGCAATTGTAGATCCACAAGACATATAGAGGAATCTACGTAGTGGGACCCCCTTTGTCAGGGACCTCTACTCTTTGGCCTTGAAGATCTTCAGCTGACAGAAGGACTGGCCTTTTCACGACGCTACCTCCGCGCTGGCGCTGCCTCACCTCAGGCTGCTCTCCGCGATGGCGCTCTCTCGGCCGACGCTGCACATGGAGGACTTCAGAAGAAAGGCGTGGGGGGGGGGGCGAAACAGGCAGGCAGGAATGGTTAAGTTACAATGATGATTCTCTTGGCTGCAAAGAATTTTGCAGGAAATAGATGAACAATCGTCCTTCTTACTGCACTTCTGGTCCTTGGAATAAAAGAGGACCCTTCATGAGAGATGTTCCTAAACAGCTATGCCTATGCCTGCATAAGGTCTTCCAAAAAGTCGATCGATTTGAAGTCGGTCCTTTGTGGCCTGTGTCCTCTCAGCGACAATGTGTATTAGTTTCAGGTTTATGGGTTTTTCGGTTCTGGGTCCTCCAAAGTTATGTTTCTGGAAATCGGAAATTGTGACACTATCATGTTGTGGACGTCTCTATGTGTATGGAAAAATTATGTTGTCGAAGACAAGATTGTCTTACAGTAGTATGACTGCGATTCACACACACACACACACACTGTGTGTGTCGACTGCGCGTTGCTAAGAACTCATTTTTGGGGTGTTGGAGAGCACAGAGATGTTGTTTTTTTGAACATGTATATACAGTTGGATAGCTATGTAACGCTGTATAAAACTTTAAACATTTGTGTCCATGTTGGTTGGTCCGCTGTCCTTCCCCTGTGATGTTTTTGTCATAGTACAATCGGACGGGATCATGTTGCAGCTTCTCGGACAGTGACAGAGCCGTGATCTCCCAAACTTCTTGTAGCGATCCCGTCAGCACTTCCTTGCGCTTCCTTAGTTTATCATTTGTCCATTCCCAATTCCTCCGTTTCCGCTTCGTCCCAACCACCTCAGTCCCCCTCCCCCCCCACAAACGCGCTACCCTCGTTCTGGTCTGAGTTCGTCTCAGACGGTCCAGGTACAACAGCGCTACAGGAGCATAGAGGCCATTTTCAGGGAGTCCTTTGAGCATATGGAGGATGAGGAGACGCACCGGAGATGGGGGGGTAATTCGGCAGGGTACTCAGGGTATGAAATTCGATGAGAAACATCTGGGAAGATCACGACAGGACCTGAGCTTCGAAACAGGGCGATCATCGAGAAAGAGTTGCTGGGTTGCTCTGTCGAGGATTAGGAGCCACCCTGATCAATCTGAATAGGGCGATGCGCCTGATGCGCTTGACTCTTGCAGGGAGCTCGACAGAAAAAAACATCAGGGGACCGCAGCTTCCAGGAGCTCAACAATGATGATGACATGCGGAGACTCGGCAGCAAATGCTTGATACTAGGTCGATTCTGTTTGGTGTTATTGCATGTTATATATAATTGCATGTGGCTGTCGTGCCAAAAACATGTTCAGTTTTTGTTTGTTGAAAGGAATCAATGTTTGACTGATGTTGCACAAATCATTAATTATGGTACGACCAAAACCACCGATCTGGTTTTCACCAGTTTTGTGGGAGGATACTTCTGTGTACTATACTCGAGACATCTCGAGACTATCTATTTGGAGGACAGCACCGCACCTTACCATTGGCACCTGGCCGCTTATATATATATATATAGGGATATAGGGCTTTAGGCTAAAAACGAACCAAGAGGGTACATGTGGCAGAATTAATTTTACAAATGCGTTTGCCTCAAAATTCAAAGGACCTTTGAGGAATCGGTTTTCCTCAATTTCCGTTACTGGGACATGCGTTTGTAACGGCATGTCTTGGATTCATGTCGTTTGTCGAGGAACCCGGCGGCTCGCGCCGACGAGGTTAAGTTGTGACGAGTTTTCTGAGATCTTGGAAGCCTTGGACTTCAGCAGGCGACGGGAGACAAAAGCCTTTCGGAGCAACCAGCCACATCCTGCCGCTGGGATCCTTGTTTATACTGCCACCACTACACATCTTGAAGTACTTTCTCAAAAGATGGTACAACTGGTACTTACAAAGGACTTGGAAGTTGGCCAGGCTCCAAAGACCCCTGTACCTTGATAGGGCTCTTCCGAAGAAAAGGAATACCAGCCCCACGCCCCAGAATAGCGATATATTGCGATTTTAGATATACCTCATTTGCAGAACAGAACCCAACCGACCGTCCAGCGCCCAACAAGCCCAACCGAGTCCAACCCGTTTGGTCGATGCCAACACCGACGGCGTCCGACGTCACAGGCGCGAGACGAGCTATCTCTTCTGGTTGGCTGATGCCAACGGCGCCCAGCGGCTGACGCTCTATGAGTCGGGTCGGCTCAGGGGACAGTAACAGGAATATATGGACATATAATATATGAACAGTTGTTTTATTTTTCATAACTTTATATCAAGCTACTCGCAGCGCTGGACTTAGTATGTATACATACTGTCGTACTTGCTAAGTATCACACCTTTATAGTTACCATGATTTTATACTCGCTGCAGGGCTATATATTTGCAGCGGGATTAATGGTGTCATTGCATTGTTTCACACCATGCAATGTAATGCTTTCACGCAATGCAATGTCATGCCATGCCGTGTCATGTCATGTCATGCCACGCCAAGTGCATACAGTGTTTGAATGAGTTGTGCTTCATGATCATGCATGTGCACATTTCATGTCAACTTCATGCTAGCTGGCTCTGACAAGTGACAAGTGATCACGTGGGACTCTCAATTCCGAGGATTGCACCATGGAGGGCGTGCGCGCTTGCCGAAGTGACATCCACCATCAACGTGCTGATTGACAGGGCTCTTTCTGGAGCTTCCATGGTCAAGTCAGCAGAAGGCATCTTGACACTGTTGAGGAAGGAGCAACTGTTGCGCCAGCTTCGCCTGACGCCAAAAAGATGACTGGTGTGCATCCACGCGACCGTGCTGGAGTTGGAGTTGCTGTGCAGGACGTCCATGCCTTGCTGTCAGATATTTTGGACACAGGGTTTGTCCCGAGCTTGGTCAGTGCTTTGGCCTTTGAGGTGACCTGCCCCGAAGAGTTGGAGTTCAACAGAAAAGCTCATCGAGTCCGCTGGTGGTCAGCTGGGAGTGCCCGATGTGGCACAGATGAGATATTTGTCTGTGTGCGGCTCACACACAAACTTCGTCCTCTGCCCTTTTGTGGACTCAGTTGAGCACGGCCAGAACAAGCAGGTCAGTCAACACAGTCAACGGCAGGCTGAGCCAAGACGCTCTCCGTCTTGCCGACACGGCTTTCTTCGAGGCTGTGCGGGAGGGGGTGGTCTGGGAGATCATCCCCTCATGGGTCGCATTACAGCTTCCATGACTACCAGACATCTTGCAACAGGTTGGAAATACCTCCCTCAACCGCGGTGAGAGCGAGATACAAATGCTGCAACAGCTGCACTCCATGTGCGTTGAGCGCACATCAAAAGAGGAAAGGGTAAATCTCGAAGATGTGAATCGCTCTTTTGTCTGCGAATCGCTCTTTTGTCTGTGCTGTGCGCTTGATCTTCCAGCAGAGGTTGAGAGTACTCATAGACCCTCCTATGTGACATTTGTCGTATAGACCCCTTGTGTCGTATAGACCCCCTCCCTTTCCCAAACCATGATGGTTTGCAACTTTGAGCCATGTGTGTGAAAATCATGCCCACACTATCGACTTGAGCCATGGGTATGTGTCCGGAGGACTTTAAAAAACAAAACGATCAGGCACAGCCATATATGCACTGCGTGCATGTCACACCACATGACGCCTTTTCTATTTCCACTGATTAGTCACGTGGGTCGACCGAGTTTGGCCCACCGCAAGCTCACCATCACACAGTAGTGTTGCAAACTTCTCAGTGAAAATGTGACAGTGTGCAGCTTTGTGCAGATAGCTTTGATCCTTCTCACCATATCCTCGTCCAAAAGGCACTGATAATACCGGGGGTTGCCATGCACTGGCAAATAGTCAAGGATCCTAAGCTTAAGCCACAGCAAAGCCAGTTTGCAACATGGCTCTTGCAGCAACACGCATGGAAAAACACAGCGCAAGATACATACAGCTGAGCTGCAAATGTTCCAACTGATGAACCTTCGGTCTGACTTGAAACAGCAAGCGGCCAACGTCCAAGGCCCATAGAGACAAGCCTGTCAATGGTCGTTGGGCACTTGTTCCAGAGCTGAAAAAACACAATGCACAAGTTGAGACCCATGAGTTTTTTTGTTCACAGCTAAGTCGCTATTGTACGCTCTTCTATACCTCATGTAACCCTCTGTCGCTTCAGCCACATCTGAACTTGGAAGCAGCCCACGTGGGTTCTTCGCAAAGATAATGCTCATCAATGCCAGCCCACTGAAGGCTGAAGCAATCCACCTGCACTGCGAGCGGTACACTAAACAGTGTGTGCATTTGTGCTACCTTCAAATTTAAAGCTGGTTTTCAAACAAGTCTAAACATGTTGTTTTCCCAGTACACCTGTAGACATCGATGTCAGGGTTCTCTTCAGAGATTTGCGAGGCATATTGGTTTGCAAAAAGGATCATCATCCTTGACGAAGCTCCATTCATTTTTTTCTGGCCGATATTCGGATAGGCGTGGGTTTTCTTTTGCAAAGAATCCCTCTCAAACAGGACAGCTCGTGCTCTGGAATGGTGTGGAATACCTGGGCTCAACTAAGCGTGGCAAGGGTTTCCCCTTTTGGAGAGACATCCAAACCAACTGTTTGTGTGGACCCAGATGCACAAAACCTATCGAATCTTTGAGTCTAGTGACCATGTTTGATGCACCAGGCTAAATACACTGCGTATAATTCCCTCAACCGTTTGTCCCTCGATCGTGCCGGAAAGATTTGCTGATCGTCTGTCCAGACCAAGAAGGCAGATGCAATCAGGTCAGCAAACAAAGCCAAATCGCAAATGTGCAAAAGATCTGGGTAGATTCCTTGGCTTCACAGAGCCCTGATATTGACCCAAGTGAATCATGCTCACTATCATCACATGCAAATCATAGAACACATGTTTTAATCGCAATCCATGCTTCGCCAACTATCAAATCCTGTGATTTGGCAGATAGGGGAATCAGACAAATTCTCCACAAACTCCTTCGAGGTCGTAAGCCTCAGATTCTCCCAACCTATACGTACTAGCGGAAAGCGATGGCCTCCAAGCGATCCGATGTACCTGGCGATGGCCTCCACTAGCTTTCGAATGGGCTGCTTTAAGAGACTCGACTCGGATTCAGCTGAGAAGCCTTGCACGGTACTTTGCATCTATGCCAAAGTTGGTGTAAAGCAGTCCTTCATCTTCTACATCTTGAACAGACTGCATGGCTTCACAATGAAAGCAGCAGTGGGTATGCCGATAACTTCCTAATTGGTCAAATAATTTGGGAACAATGAACAAATATTGGAGGTTTGAAAAGAATAATGAAATCTTTTTCAATCATTCCATGGTTCTTTTCAGCTTGAACAGGTGTGCAATAAAGTCCGCGTCCCCCTGACACCCATCCAAAGCCGCATGCCAGGGGCCCATAATTCTGGTCCCTGCGTTCTCCCACCGGTCCTTCATATAGGACTCTGAGAAAGGTTTGCCTCAGGGATCCACAGCTGGATGGACTCCATTGCCTCACCATCCATCTATCTTTTGATATCAAAAAACTACTGAACACCCCCTATAAACTAGTTGAAAAGAATCGAAAAAGACTTCTAATGGATGAGTGGGGTACGGCAGGCTTCAAGAGACCAGGCCAAAACTTCAAGAATTCTATCTCGAGCGGTGTCGGCAGTCGAAAGAGTATTTCGGGTCGTCGTCAAGAGACGGGAATCCAAAGTGCTGTCAGATTCCCCCATCACGCTCAGGATCGTGTAGATTTCGAATGGCTGCTGTGCTTCGGCTCCATCACCATAGAGCCGAACTGGGAAGAAGTGACTGATGTCCTAATGATTGGGGGACAGATCGAGGGAGAGGTGGGACTGAATCGAATTCGAGGGATGGGGGAGTTTGCTGGATCACTGTTTTTCTGAAAACCACCACCATCCCCCATCTGGGAAACATCAGGGAAACACTAGTTTTCTGAACGAGAAAAGTTTGCTCTTAGATTTAGCTGCGACCCCTGGTAAGCGGACTTCTGCTTCTAGATCACTGTTGTTCGCCCAGTATTCCTGAAGCTTGCCAGGAGTTCCAGTCAGCAAGTAGTGAAAGACACCAGGCCACTTGTATAGAGCCCCAAATATGTCATGGGGGAGCATGACATGTTGTTTGAGCATCTTGACATTGTCTATCAAGGCACCCTTGGTGGAGGGTCTTGCCTGGGATAAGCAAAAACGACGAAGGCAAAACTGCAATCAGGGAAGGTTGCCATCTACACGACCTGAAAAAAAACAAAGGTGAATCTACTCTATAAGTCAAGGAACTTCGACCTCGAACCTTATACTTTGCACATGGAATCAGGTTTGAAGAAACAGGTGTTGAGCGATCTTTTTACATAACAACAAAAAGAAACATGAAGACTCCTGACTCCATGAAACTCAAAGTATGTAGTCGGCATCACCTGCCTCCAGCTTTGTTTGGAACACCACTTCGCAAATGTCCGCTCCAAGCCCCACCCACCACCACACTCGAAGGCAGTGTACAAATCCAAGACGTCAGGCCTCATGAGTGGTAAGGGAAAACTTTTGAGACTTGAAGCAGTTTCACAATGGCTTGCTGAGGAAAGAACGGAATCAGATCATGATTCAGCTTCGCAATCCTGGACACCTTCCGCTGGACCGCTGAGATGCTGGCCTCGCATGCGCAACTCGGAGTCTCATGAAGGAAGCTACGCCTGACACCTCCCATGCGACCAGTTGAGACGGGCCGCGCATCCGTTTGCAAGTTCTGTGAAGAGCTCATCCACTAAAGAATCAATAGTCTTCTTCTGCTCGTCCACCGCCGCACGCCTACGACCAGGTCTCACCATTTCACCATGGAAACAAACGATCAATAACGATGATGTGTCATTGTCTTTGTTGATGCCATGATGCAATGATTCAATGACTTGCTATTATTTTTCCACCCTTTCAGCACCCATGCTCCCACGGGTGAGAGCAGACCCCATGTAGGCCTCTCAAGCTGGTTGGAAAAGCTCGTACGACCTACTATTCCACGACCTACTGGATTCCAATTTTTAGAATCCTGAATTGCTACCCCACCACTCTTCATCTGGTGGTGGTGCAGTGAGATCCATTTCAGCCCAAGTCTGACCCTCCAAATCCCAAACCCAATCGTCAGCATCTTCGCCGGCTTCGTTTGACTGTTTCTTCTTCTTGTCTTTCTTCTCTGCTTC